TTTTTTTTGTTTTTGTTTTTCCTGYSATCTTTTCATCTCTAAGCTGGGAGGCAAGTCTGCAAGTAGTGCATCCCTTTCTTTCCTTTAATAAAAATTAAATAGGGGAGTCACATCCTTCTTACAGGGTGGCACATGCACAGATGATATATCTGCATTATAAGTTATCTTAAATAAAGACATATTTTTTCATCAGTATTTATGGCAGTATAACTTGGAAGATTCTCCTTTATTTGGTTGTCTTGAAAATGTCCTTTATCAACCAGTAGGGTAGATTTGGTTCTGTCAAGGCAGGAAGCAGTGAAATAATGAAACAGAATGTGGTGTCTAGGTGTCAGAACACTGTACACTGACTGGGTGGAAACAGTGACCTGTGGGATATTTGATGGCCAATATTGCAGGTGCTGCAAATTATCTGTAAAAGATGTTTCTCAGACTCTTTTTTTTAATGAATGTTTTTACAGGTAGATTGTTCTCGGAGTTGTAAATCCAAGTCCAGTTACTGCAGCAGGTACTGTAACCAGATAATTTTTGTGCTTTCTGACTTGCTCCTTCCATTTTTAATCATAATATTTTTCATCTGATAGCTAAAATTCATGTCGATGCTTGGTGATAAAAAAAAATCTTAGGTTCAGCATCCTGCTGCAAGTGAATACTGTGCTGCTAGAACACCCAGAGCAACCTCAGAACTGGGACATTGCTGCTGATGGTTTGGCACTGGGTGGTAGTATAGCCAAGCAACTAGAATCCCTGTCCTGTGATGTAGGCTTTGGCCAAAGGATTGAGAAGAGGACAAACTTTCAGTTTCTGGAGGCAGCTCTTGTCAACTGTGAGGGAAAGGTACTCTCTCAAGCATGATCTAATAGTGTGTCCAAGCAAGTGAAACACCATAGAGAAAGTTTTCCATCCCTGAGCAAATTAGCTGTGCTGGGGATAATCTGTAAGGATTCGAATAAATCAATCCGCTGTAAATCCAGATGAGGTCCAGTATGCATAAGTATTGAGAGCCAGTGCTCACTTGGAAAGTTTATTTCAAAGAGCCTTGAGGTACTACTTTTCCCTGTGGTGGGCACAAGGGTGAAATGCTGCAGCATTTTCAGGAGGTTAAAAAACCAAACTTAACTGGCAAACTTTAGCAGACTGGGAATTTGGCAAAATTTGAAACAAAATAGGCAATCTAAAGAAAGGTTTTACTTAGTAAACTCTACTTATCTGACTTTAAGTTACCCTTATTCCGAGGAGAGGAAATTAGGAGTGAAAATGGAGAAAACCCAGTACATTGATCCCATTACAATCTCAGCTATGATAAAATCCAAGGATAGTAGGGGTTTGACCGTGTGCATCTCAGAGCAGTGGGTTTTATCTGTCCTGGCCTCCTGTGGCTWTGCCCCCCCAGGTGGGGCTTCTGGTCATYCAGCCACTCTATGGCTACATTGAGGCTGCAGGCATGGGATGTGGGGCATTTCTTGTAGTGTGCCAGTGCCTGAAATCGTTCTGTGCTGGACTACCARTTCCTGGGGGCAGGGGTGAAGAATGGAGCAGTGTACCTCCCACTTTCCACAGAACTTGCCCTGCTCCCTCCCCTTCAGTTGTTTGAAGCAAGTAATCATTTTCTCTAGTTTTTAACAACAATACCTSTGGCAGAAGTTTGTACAGGGTGTGCCAGTGTTGTACACCAGCTCRTTGGCATTGATGTCAATGARAGAAGGAGGACAAAGAAGTGCTCCAGGTAACTACCTGACTCTGGCAATGTGAAATCAGCTTTTTTCCTGCTACCTGACCTGTGCCTTGGCTGTGGACTGTCCAAGACTGTGGACAGACTTGAAAGACTGGAGCAGGTTGGAGAGGAAATKTCCCATGCCCCACYARTACAGACCAGAGTCTCTGCTATTAGGAGCAGCCAACCTCCTGCTTGAGAGAGGGGGCACATCATGAGGTAAAGTGGTTTTACATAATGACCACATAGAGGAYGTGAGGAAGTGGGATGGAAAACCAACCTCTTCCCTGGTAGCACAGAAGTGTGAGCAGAACAGGTGTAAAAACCACCACAGGGAATTGTTGAAGGATAAATCCTCTTCTGTTTCCAGTGTGCAAGTCCCGAGACAGTAGGAGGGCTGATGTTACTTCCGATTGTCCTGAATTCACTTGAATGGACTTCCAGTTCATATTTACAGGAAGTGAGCAGCGAGTACCATGACCAGAATTAGAGAGGGCCTGCCTACAGCCAGGTGGGGGAAAGGGATACTGGAATCTATTGGTCTCTGTAGATCCATGGCCTGGCAGATCAGACCCACAAGAGTACAAAGTTTTATTTGGCRCTGGTCCATAATGTACCGTGATGCTATTGAGATCTGTAGAGGCAGAATCTATATTTCTAAGGTGACGGGGGAATCCAAGCASCTGMCTGTCCTGGAAGCTGAAGTGAGCCTGATGGGGAACAAATGGCAAAAACACTTCATTGTGACTGTTCCAGAGGCCCCATGCATYSTTGGCATAGATCACCTCACAAGAGRATACTTCAAAGAGCCAAAATGACATTGTTGGGCTTTTTGGGTTAGCTGCTGGGGGGACAGAGGAAATTAAACAGTTGAATACCTTGCCTCGTCTCTCCAAGGACCCTTCTGCTGTGGGCCTGCTGAGAATTGAAGAGCAGGTACCATCACTACCATGACAGTACCTTGTTGGCAATACCACATCAGCCAGGGACCCCTTTCCATRGGATGAGTCATGAAATGGACAGCCAAAGAGTGGTCAGCMAGACTCATTGACCYTTCAGTAKACCTKCATRGCCAGTGTGTGCAGTGGAGAGTGGAGACTGACACTGGSCTTTCATGGCCTGAAYGAAGTCCTACCATCACTTGAGTTCTGCTGTGCCAGACATGCTAGATCTTTGGTATAAATTGAAGTCCRAGGCAGCAAAGTGGTGCCACCATTGAAATGGCTGACATGTTTTTCTCCCTTTCTTTAGCAGGAGAGTGCAGGCCACTGTTTGTGTTTACCTGGAGGGGCATCCAGTATACCTGGAACTGACTGCCCAGAGGTAGAAGCAGGTAGAAGCACAGTCCCACCATTTTCCATGGACTGATGCAGGCTGCACTGGAAGAGGGTGAGACTCCAGAATACTTCCACTACACTAATGACATCATTGTATGGGGCAGCACAGCAGGGGATGTTTTTGAGGAAGAGGAGAAAATAAATCCCCCTGAAGGTTGTTTTTGCCAAGGACACAGACTTGCCCAGAAAATTCAGTTGCTAGGAGTAAAAAGGCAAGATGGATGTTGTCAGAGTCCAGTGKATGTGGTCATCAAAATAGCGTGTCTAGTCAGTAGAAAAGAAACACAGGCTTTCCTTGGCATTGTGCGTTTTTGGAGGATGCATATTTCATAAGATAGTCAGATTGTAACCCCTCTCTGTCATGTGACATGGGAAAACAGCAGTTTTAGGTGGGGTGCTAAATAACCACAAGAAATTTTTGAACAAATTAAACTGGAGATTGTTCATGGAGCAGCCCTTRGGCCAGTCAAGACATGATAAGATGTGAAAAATGTGCTCTACATTGCAGCTGGAAAGTGTGGTCCTTCCTGGAGTCTCTGACAAAGTACCTGTGGAGACTTGAAGACAACCCCTGGGGTTCTGGATTTGGTGGTAAAGRGGATCTGAGGCCTGTTACACCTCAGCTGAGGAAGTGATCTTGGCAGCTTGTGGAGGGTTGGAGTTGTCTCAGAGGAGATTGACACTGAAACACAGTGCTTTCTGGCACCCYGACTGCCAGTTCGAGACTGAATGTGCAAGGGAAATTCCCTTCCACAGGTCATGCCACTGATGCCACATGGAGTGAGTTGCTCTGCCCTCACAGTGAGCTCAATAGGAAACCATGATCACCCAGGGATCTTGGAAATCGTTAGAAAGTGATATGAAGGCAAAAATATCAGGAGTACCATGAGAAGAGGAGGATAAAAAGGTGCCACATGCTAAGGAGGCCCCACCCTATAATCATCTCCCAGAAAATGAAAAGCAATATGCTCTCTTCACTGTTGGTTCCTGTCATRTCATAGGGGCAGACTGAAGATGGAAAACTGCCATAGGGGATCCTACCCAGTAAGTTGCAGAAGCTATTGATGGACAAGGTGGTCAGGGTGCAGAGCTGAAAAGCCATCCAACCATCTTCAAATACTGCTGAATGAAAGAAACAGCCCATGTTGAACCTCTACACTTGATTTGTGAATGGGGRGTGATGGTCAAAACATAAATATGCGGAGGCCTGGCAGATGGATAACATCACGCTCCCACAGACCCACCAAGGCAAGCGTTACATGCTGACACTGGTAGAAGGCATCAGTGGATGGCTGGAGATGTATYCTGTGCCTCATGGCTCTGCCCAGAGTACCATCTGGGCCTTGAACAACAAGTCCTGTGGCAACGTGGCACTCCAGAAAGAATTGAGTCGGACAATGGGAATCATTTCAAAACCAGCCTCGTAGACATCTGGGCCAGAGAGCACAGGATTGAGTGGGTGTATCATATTCCTTACCATGCACCAGCCTCTGRAAAAATTGAACAGCATAATGAACTGTTACTGACCGTATTGAAAGCAGTGGATGGATCTTCAAACATTGAGATCAACATTTTGCAAAAACCTGCTTAACCAGATTAATAAACCCTTGAGGCTCCACCAGTCAAGCTGGCCTTCCCCAGTTAGAACCTCTACCTTCTGTAGAAAGGAATAAAGTCCCCATGAGAAATGGAATATGAGGAATTGCATGAGGAACATATTATGGTAGACAATTGGGATTAGTCCTACCTCAGACAAAGACAAGCCCATCTGTGGGATTGTTTTTGCTCAAGGACTTGGTTACACTGTGTGGGTAATTCAGAGGGACAGGGAAACATGTACTTCAGAGGAGTTTGATTTTTGGGTGAGAAGATTCTGTAATGTTGAATTGTATCATATTGCTGAATTCTTTGTTGCTGGATGACATTGCCACGGCCATAACTACCATGGACAGGGTATATAGACCAGTCCAGATAGACCAGTCATAAACTCCTGCTGCAGTTTGCAAACAGCCCTCCTGCCCTAGAAGACTTGCAGGATAGATGGAGCCCACAGTCTTGGACTAAAKGAACTCAACAGACATCTTGGAGRGACAGCCACTGACAATGGAAATGATAGCTGTGTTGGTGTAAATATCTATGTCTGTATATATGTATGCRTATAGTTGGAAATGGGTAGGATTTGGGCATCATATACATCATTTGGTATAGAATAAGGGGTGGATAATGTCCTGGGTCTGGCCAGGACAAGGTTAATTTTTGTTGTGACTAGAAGAGGGTATGGCWAGAATTTGATGGGGATAATATGCAGAGGGAGTGCTTGTGTGTCTGCACTCATCTCTTGAGTTTCTCTCTGGTTTGGATTACATCAGTCTTCTGACCTGTACTGAAAYTGCTGTAATGGTTCGTTTTCTCACCTTATTGCTGTTTTCAGTAAGTTGTTGTTAACCAGTGATGTTTACCTTTTCTGCCTCCAATTCTCCTTTCAGTGGGAGCATTTGATGGGAGAATACCATTCCTAACCCACAATAGATTCTATACAGCTTCAGTTCAAATAGAAACAATGAGAAATGTCATTGATATGCCCAATCTGCAGCCTGAATTTGGATTCTGGGAACAATTCAAATGACTGTTTGTCACTCCTGCAGTGTGAGGAGGCCTGCATRTATTGACAGGAATTGGATTTGTGGATGAAGAAGCAGTTCTTGAGAAACACTTGTAGTTCATTCTTGAATGAGCAAAATAAAGCTCCTTCTTCCATTTGGTAATGTAGATGATCCCATTTAGGATGTCTTCATTTACAGGAGAGGACTGCCTACTTAATGCATAGTTAGTTAATTCTGTAATATCTGTTGCACCRAAGCAGGAGTAATGATAAAGTTTCTGGTGACCTTTAGTTGCCAATAGATACATTAATGATGGAGAAATTTGATGTGGATATGCAGAGGGAGTGTCTGTGTCTGTAAGGGTCTCTTAAACATCTTTCTAATTCGCATCACAGCAGTCTGCTGACATGTACTGAAATATTTTCAGGTTAAATTCTTGTTCTAGAGGTGTTATTTTATTAATGGATTATGTTTGACTGTAGAAAGAGTGTTTTTTTGACTTTTAGTCTCAGAATTAATATGATTTTTATTTTTCCTTTCCTACAGTTGTACAGTCCTGTTTGGAATGTTTGTAACAACATAAACAARTTTTTTGGTGAGTATAAGCATGGATCCTTGTTTTTGTTAATTGTAGCTTTTTTTAGCTTTTGAAATTATGCTTTGAAATTCAGTTTTTTCTTAAATACTATCCACAGTACATCTGCAAGACTTACCTGCATTAAATTCTTATATTCTTAAAGATTGCCATTTTTCCTTCGACTGAAAATATCCAGTCTCATTAAAGTAGGTTTTCATTAATGTTGCATTATTTAAGAAAAATCTGATTTATTTTATGTGACTTAAAACATTTTTCCAAATTCTTTTTGTTTGTTCAGTGTTTAGGTGCTTGTCTTTTATCTCTAGTGTGTTACAGGAAAAGAGGGGAAACCAGAACGGCTAAATGAGACATCAAATGACTGAAAATAATTGTTTTCAGTAATGAGTRTTTATTTCTTTAAATGCACTTGGTAATTCAAATAGATTTCATTTTAGAACATTTTATTTTTTGTTCTGTTGAATTGCTTGTGTTCATAATTTCTGCTTCTGTGTTGATCTATAGCAGTCTCAGCACCAGTTTAAACTGGCAGCTCAGTTATACGAGATGTTGCTGAGGGGATGAAAATTATGTTCTCCGGGCCCTATAATCTCAGGTAGARAGTGAGGATCTTGTTCAGGGAAGGGTCTCTCATGTAACACCTTTTCCTTTTTGTCATGGAGTACTTTGGGAAAGTMGTGTTTCTGCCTGAGGAGAAGAACAAGTGTAGATTTTTACTTGTGTCAGTGCTCTTAATTTACTTGTATATAGTAGAGAAAAAGTAGGAGACTGAAATCAAGTACTCAGTCTTACGGTTTGAGGAAATGTCAGTGGTGAGGGATCAGCTGTCTAGCATTCTTGTTACTGAGATGTTATATCAGTTCAGAATCCAGATTCCGTGTYATGTGCTTCAGAGTTCGCCTGTGTAGTTGCAAGTAAGTGCTTATGAATATTTAGTTGAGGGTCCTACATCATGSAGGTAAGAACTGTGTATAGTCCCTTGTCTTGTTTGAAATGTGTCTTTTGCATAGGAGAAGGGGTATGATTCAGTATTTCTTGGAATTCGTTGCAGTGTCAGAAAGTCTTCCTGTCCAGTTTAAGTCTTTCATGTTTCTTCTCCTGTTAGAAATAGCAGTGTGAAGGACATTATCTGAAACTTACGGTCACATCTGAAAACAGCCAGCTACCTGTGAAATGGTACACAAAACCAGCATAAGGCAGGAGCAGACATTCTCGGATGAACAGAAGTTGTTCTTGAGTTAGCACGTTTAGCAGGTATAGGGGTTTTATATGTTTTTATGTGTAGGGTAAAATACAGGAAGGCGTACTTCATGGTAGCACTGCTCTGTGGTCAAAACCTACTAGGCAGAGGGTGGCTTGTCTGCAGGCATTAAAAGTCTGTTGTAATCAGCTTCCCATGTCACTTCAGTACAGTTTTTAAGTGGTACTTGTGAGACTTCCACTTACTCTTCATAAGATGCCATTAGGATTGTACAGTATAAGTGGTGTCTGTAAATACTGCTTTGCAGTCTGATATCATACCTTTTCTCATCTGCAGGTGTGTGGCTTCAGCACAGCATGGCTGTGGTCATCCACTTGCAAGGTGTTCCAATTGCRGTGGGGACCATGAACTTCTCTGGATTGACCATTCCTGATGGGGGCATGCATATTGTAGGGGGTGAACTGGGTGAGGCTTTCATCATTTTACTACTGATSAAGATGTGAGGCTGKTGTCATGTGTGCAGATGATAGAAGKTCAGAACTAATGATTGCAGAGTAAAAAAGAAACCTGATCTGCGAAATGTGAATAGGCTTAGTCCTTGGCAGTTTCATACGTAGATGTGCCAGCAGATTTAGAGCAGTGGTGCTGAAGAGGGTGGCAGTCTGGTTTAGCCTTAGGCTTTGTGGAATCAATTCTTTGTCCTAGAAGRAAGCAAAACAACAAGCTTGTAGGAGTGGCAGTGCTGCCTGCATTACCCCAGGTCACCAACATATGTGCTGTATCTTTCTTCCTGGTTTTGCCAGTGCTTTTTGTTACCTGTCCTGCCCTGTAGTCCTGCTGAATCACCACCAAGGTACCCATGCAGCAAGCTTCCCATCCAGAATAAAACATAAATTTCCAGTGCAAAGTAGTGTTATATTTATGCACACTGTCAAAGTTGACCGTGCTCCTCTTATCAAGTCAGAGAGCTATGAGGGAGATTTTCATCGTGGTAGTCTTTTTTTCCTTCTTGCATCCTTTGGGCAGAGGAAGCATAATGCCTGCGTTTGGCATGGATCCACAAAAGAATGAGGGAAATAGGCTGAATTGTGGGAGTGAATTGCATTTCTTCTGAGCTGCTTATGAAGCAGCACTGAGACAGTTTGAAAGTGGGGCTGATTTAAAGGAAGGGGTTTTGGTGTGACACTTGGTAAAGGAATGGTTTGATCTCTCAGCTAGGATTTGGAAAATAGTTTTTGCCAGGGTAGGTGTATTTGGAGAAGGCTGCAGTGATTTTGCGGTTTCCATGGAGGAAATGGTAGTGACTGTTGCTAATGAAAGTTTGCCATAAYTGGTTTACTCTCTCTGGTAATATGAAACAGATTTTCAGTTTCCAGAGGAGCCCACTTCTGTTGGAACTTGATGATATGCCAGGTTTGGGGCTCAGCACTAACTGAGCCTAAAACTGGAGAGGGTATGAACAGCTGTAGATGAAGGTGTACAGGACCTGCACCGTTAGCAGAGCAAAAAGCTTGTTTTAGAAGTCAAAAATTATGATCYGTGAAGGGATCCATATTAATGTATTTTTGTCTGCATGGCCCTGAGATAAATAAATGTCCCTTGTCATTGATATCTGTGTCTGAATAGTTGAATACTCTTTAAAAGTTTAAAAATTAACATAAGATGACCTTGATGGAGAAGACTCTTCCTTTTAAACAACATGTTTTCTTTCAATAATGTAGATTTAGAAATGTTTTGGAAGTAGCTTCTTTTGGAAGCAGTGACTTGTTTAAATCCTGAACTATTTGTTCCTGAAACAGATCTGATCTTCATAAAGAATTTTTGGAGAAAAGCCATAGAGCTCTTGGWTAGGCCTAGTCTCCTTGTTTTAATCATGGTTTTGAATGCATTGGATAAATGTATTACCAGAGTTACCAGAGTGGAAATCCTGCTTGTATCTTCATTTASGTACCAAGTTAGTAAAAATTGATTTTCTGCTGAAAAAAATTTTAGAAGAGATGTTCTGGCGAAGTATTCTTATTTCCAAGTTGTAGCTGTGGCTGTGTGATCAGTCTGGGATTGTTTGTTAACAAGCTGTTTTAATGTAGTTCAAGGTTTTAAGCAGTCCTTGCAGGAGAGGACAGAGGCTGAAACATAAAATCTTGAAGTAGGCAAGCCCTTGTGTTCAGTGCTTGCTTTCTGATAAATTTAGTTCTCTCTATGGTCACAGTCATGCTGGTGAAGCGTACTTTGGCACTGCCTCTTGGCCTACTTTGTGCAGAGCCATGTTACAGTTCCCAGTGAAGGTCGGGTCTCATGGTTTCAGTCTTGCTGTAAGGATGGATGTTTCAAGGTAGAATGGTTGAGAACATCTACTGAGTGATTTATGTCATGTAATGTTTTGCCAAGTATGCATCTGCTTGAGGACTTTGCTCCTGAAATTAGCTGCAAATGGAAAAGCCAGCCTGCTTTCATGGTCTGAAGAGCAGGACTGCTGGGTCACACAGTGCAAGCCAGAGGTAGGATGTGAGAGAGAACCCAAAGCAGCCCAAGTTTTGGAACTTAGGAGGAGAAASAAARGAAGAYGTGGGAGGAGGGACCAGKGATACGAGATTTTTTGCCCATAAAWTGTTTTCCTCTCTTTAAGCTTTGTAATCCACTGCCTTCTAACAAGCTTGTCTAAGTTAGTGAAGTGCAATATGTGTGTGCTTTGACTAATGTAGATGTTAGTGGCTAGCTGTGTTCAGATATTCCCATATGGAATCAGCTGCTTCTATAACTATGATTAAATGGCTTTGGCTGTTTTCTTCAGAATTCCTCTTAGTTGGGATGCTCACATTTTAAAAAAAAATTGACTGGATCTGTAATTTCCTCACCAAAATTGGTGTGTGTTTATTAGAAGCCCTGTTGCATGGGATCCTCTTACTGAGGTCAGGGAARTACGTTCCTCTCCAGCCCCATGTAGGTGAGTTGAGAGGAATCCCTGGCACCTTTGGGTGCATGTTGGCTTTGTGTGTCCCTCCTTAGTGAAAGGGGAAAATAAGTGTATTAGGGAAAGAATCACCTTGTGGATGTAATTTCTTCTGCAAGTGTTAAGCAAAATGTCTRTCTGCTCCACATTTGGATGCATGAAATCCTGTTGCTAGTGTGAGAAAGGGATATTTTAATGATGTAAATCTGCAAAGAATGTGGGTGGATAAACCTCTTAAAAATAAAATGTAGCTTTGCCCTTGCTGTTCAGATTTTTCCCCTTTCCCCTTTCCTTTCCCTTTTTTTCTTTTTCTTTTTCTTTTTTCTTTTTTTCTGCCTACATTTGATGCAAAATAAACTGTAAAATCCCAACTCTCAAGTGTTTCTTAGTTTCCTTTCTCAATCAAAAGTTACGGACTCCTGCTCCAACCTTTAGAAGACTGGCCTCATTCAGATCCGTGCCGTGTGAACTCAAGTCTGTTACCAAATACTGCTGTAGGAAATTAATTTTTAGTTCCTAGGTGGCTAGRGTACTTTATCTTTTGGTGTGAATCAAACTTGCAAGCAATAGTATTTTTCTCCCATACCCCTGCAGGCTGCTTTAACAGAGGTGAGGATCAGTCTAAAAGCTCTGCTTTAGAGGAAGGCCGGAGATGAGCTTTTGGTAGAAAAGTTTCTTTGCAGTGTGGTGGTTTAATGGAGGTGGTTGGGCTGCCTCTGTGGCCAGCCCTTGGCAAATGGCCTGGTTTAAAAAGTGTAGTGAAGGAGTAGCTTTTCCYTGTTGKAGAAGCTTCATGATTTTCCAAAATRTCYTTGATTTCTGAGCCACACTTGAACTTTAAATAGCTCTTCACAATGTTAATCCTTTTGTAGATGCAGCTCGGTTGATACCATTGCTGTTTATGCCTTATGTGAACTAAAATGTTGGTGCTTATTTCTGTGTGTGTCTCCTTGCTCTTGTAGTGTAAGACTAGAAGGTTTTTTATTTTAACTAGAATCCATTTTGTCCATCTATAATGACCCTTCAAACACAGCCTTTACTATAAGGACCATTGAATAAAACTTAATTTGTGTTTTTGGATCTTGTGAGCTTGAAGACTGCAGGAATGGRTCATAATTTGTGTCTTACAGTTGTGGGAAATAGCTGAGAAAAATAGCTGTTACCAGGCTTTTTCACTTGGTGTACCTTGACAGAAGCTACTTCAGCAAGATTTCTTAAACTTTTATATTATCCCTTGGAAACATGTTAATGAAGATTATTTTTATTTTCTGGTCAAAATGGTGGAGAAGTTGGATGAAAGCAATGCAGATACGCAAGCATTGTAAAACATCTTCTAAAATCAGTTAAAAAACCTACATATTTCTAATGTGTTTGAACTTTATTGGACTTGTAGTGATGARGTGGCATAGTGTTCTAGAGTGTTTCACTAATGTGGTAGCTGTTGAAAGATTGTCATTGTGTTTGTTTTTGCCTACTTTCTGTTTGCTGGATTCCTTGTTTTCATCAAAACCGGGAGGGGGGAGAAAATACTGTGGAACTTCATGTATCACTTGTGAATTGAATTGGGTTGCATAGTTCTTAATTGACCTGGAACTTGGACCAATGGACAGAGGCTGTGCCTCACTCTTTCATAGTCCAGTAGCTGCCATTTTGAACACATTCTTGGATTGATTCTGCACACTGTCGCTTGGGAACCCTTGTTTAATTGCCCCCTTGCGTTCTGTAAACTGAAATTACAGYGGTCCCTTAACATCTGGCTTCTGGGGATTATAGTGCATAAGCTTATTTTGTGTWTGTCTTGATTAGTGATTGATATTTAATTGCATTTTTCAGGGGAATAAAATCAGCAGTGTTGATATTACAAAATGACAAAACATCCTCCGAATAGAAGAGGGATCAACTTTGAGGTGGGAGCCCAGTTGGAAGCCCGTGACAGATTAAAAAACTGGTATTTTTTTTAAAACCATTCATATTATGTTAATTTTAAGTCTTTAATATCTTAAACATTTTGTATTGGTATGATATTTAGAGTCCTRGTCATTGGTTTGTAGTTAATTTATGAACGTTTATATACCAGTGATTGAAATGGGCAATAGATGCTGATATGTTGTGCTGGCCCTCGAGAAGTGTACTGGTGCTGTGTCTGGAAATAGGATTGCTCCTAAATCTAGTTGAATTCAGGCTCTCATTCTCATTAATTCACCCTCTAAGTTCTGTGCTATACTTAGTATTGCAGAGCAGATATTTTGGAAGAATTAATTCTTTGCAGTACAGAATATCCTCGCTGCTTCTTTTGCCAGTATTGCTGTGAATTTGCAGGCTTTAAAATCTGATTTGTTAGGCCTGTGTTCATATGAAGGCTCTCAGCTTTAGTATTAAAAAACGGTGTGCAGAAACATATTCATGCTAACAAGTCTGGTCTGGTGCCTGTCTTGCAGCCCTCACCTGTGATGAACACTTTTCTACACTAGCCACTGCAGTAGGAAGAGGGAAAAGAGCCTAAAATTGCTTGGGCTAACTCTGAACTTAACTGTGTTCATTCCACGTAATCAGCGCAAAATTTAGCATTTAATAATTCTCAGTGAATGAGAGATAAAATGAAAATTGCCAAAGACTCCTTAAATCCAGGAATTAATTAGGGTTTTTTTAGCTCCTGTAGATAACTTCTCTTTCCAGAAATCAACTATAGTTGACTTTTATTAAGAAGTTCGCATGGGTTAGATATGGTTGGACTTAAAGCTCTGGAACCCGCCAACAGGGAAAGTGTACAAAGTCATTATTGAAAACCRTGTGGACATCTCAGAAGGATGGAAACACAGTCTTAAGACACAGGGGATTTATTCCAAAGCATCTTAATTGCATGCAGAGCATGTACTGTCCAGGTACAAGGTGGCATTGGACATTGTGMAAATGAATAAACATAGCTCTTTCCATAGCAAATGTGAAGTATGAGCMTTAAATGACATTTATACGTTAATTTAGCTTACCTGTGCAACTAAGAGTTGTGTAGGTAAGCATTGATCTGAACCTGCCTGCATTGTCGGTAGTTTTGACTTCTGTTAGTACAGCAAAAAGATTAGGCAGGCTTACAAAAATTTCTTAGACTGTCTGTAACATAAGCATTCTTAAGATACAGTTTGATAGCTGGTGTTTGAGTAAGGCTAATAACTTGAGTCATGACTGTTATCCTTCTGAGGTGTTTGCTCAACAACATGTTTGGGTTGGGTCTACATAGTTCTTGCTTGGGAAAACTTAGTTGGGGGAAATTTAACAACTTGYTATACTTCCTGCATATTCTTTGGCTTAAATTTGAATTTTGGATATGCTGTTTATTCTATGTTTTTTCATTTTTGGAAACACTTTCTCATAAATGACCTGTCCTACACATAGTGCTTTGCAGCTCTGATCTCATAACTTGGTTATGGCCTCTCCAGTTCTGAAATCTTTTGTTTGCTTGCTAAGTTTTGAACCCTGGATTGCGTGCATTTCTTTTTTCAGGGTTTCTAAATCAAAATTTTTAAGAGCTGGGGGCTTAGCAAAACTGTCAGTGCTGACACAACTCATTGGGTGTGGATTCATAGAGGACAGCAGACTGGTTATTTTTGCTCTGCTACTGTCATGTACCCCTGTGCAACCAGGACTGCTCCATGGTGTGGTTACAGTGCATTCCTGTGGGGGCACAGGATCCTCTGTTTGCGGACATTTGCTTTTCCCAGTGCTAGACCTTGGAGGTCCAAGCTTTTCTTGTGTATACATTTGTTGCTGTGTTGGCACTAAAACATAGGTGCAAAGTCTTCTGTTTGGTTGAAGTGCTAGCTTTGATTTCTGTGCTCAGTACCAAGCACATCAGCCAATTCATGAGTYACTATTGCCACTCCATTGGTAATGATGCTTTGGAAAATACTTTATTTCAGAGTGCCATATACCTCTCTTTCACAGTAGTGGCTTGTGCCCCAAATTGYTAGTTAAGAACTTCCAGTGTGTTTGGATGTATTGTCAGCCCTAGTGAAGAAAAAACTTTGTATGCCAGCAGAGTAGTCAATGTGGAGGCAGCTTCTTGCCAAGGTGCAAAGTGAATTTTGCATCCTTAGAGCTCGTACCAGAGGTTGCTTTGTTGTATTTAGAATCATAGCATATTGAAAATGCACTGCAATTCCTGGTGCTGTTGTCTGYTGTGTCCTATACTTGAACTCCAGGGAGTGAAGTGAGTACTTTTGTGCTTGGCTTAAGTTCTTAGGGCTTGGGTTGATGGATCAAAGCTGTCATGAAAGATTCGTGTCTGTTGACCTTGGGTTGCTAAAGGGAGAGAGCCTCTGTGGACGCTGAAAGCTCTCTTGGTACATAGTGCTGGGGTTCAGAGGGTGAAGGAGGGGTACTGCCACAGTTGGGTGGCCTTGAATGGGGAAATGCCAAAGGGGTTGCTGTAGCCATGGACAGGAGCACACTGTCCCAGGTGAATTGACTTCCTGRAACCTTTTACATTGGATCATTTAAACTGATTCAGTGCTGGCTAGCTGCATCCTTTCTCACTGAAAAGAGTATGACTCTTCCGGAGGCCTGCAGTAGGTAAATGATGTTACCTTGTTGTAATGACCCCGCCAAGTTTTTCTGTCTATTGTCTGAGTAAAATGAATGTGAAGGGACTTTTGATTCTAGTTGGAGCTCTTGAGTAATATTGAGAGTATGGTGCTACCTGTTAGATTCAGATTGTCAGTCCCATGAGTTCAGTTATTCATGCTGTCAGGAATTGRTCTAAGTACTGAAAAGGTGAACCACTGTAGCTGTTGTCTTTCACAGTGCTGGTTTTCCTCTGCATTGCTTTGACTGCAATAAGCTTGTCTGTTCCTAGTTCCCAGGGAGTCAGCATTTATAGCAGTTCTGTTTTGGTATGTAGGAAAGGAGAATGGAGAGAGACTAGTCCAGGCAATTTCCAGACACTTACCTCTTCCYGGAAGAGGGTAGTTTTACATTTGTCTGCCATAAACCCATTTTCATACTGATTGCTGTGCATTGACAGTTGTAGGCTGCAGTTGCCAGTCATTGCTAACCATAGTCTATTTAGAATTATGCTCTTTGAGCTTTTGATTGTCATTTAGGTTCTTTGAAAACTAATGCCAGCAGTTTGGGCATCTTAGAGGTTTTCCCATTCTGTTTAGCCAGTTCCTAAGTCCTTGAAAGGTACGAGCTCATAATTTCTTTCAAATTGAGCTGAATAACTGCTTCTTTTGCCCTCCTTTGCATGTTGCAAGAAGTAGTTTCTGATTTCAGCTTGTTTTTCACTGTGTTTTAGATAAATGTTTAAATCAGTATAATTTGGGTTTTCTTACTCAGAATCAATTAGCAGTTTGAATACTCATTGAGTCAGCCGATGACTCCTTTTGTGATTTGGGGGWGGATGTGTTGGGACACCCTGGACATATCTCAGTTGCGCTTTAGGACCTTATCCAAGTTTCAGCTATTGGCTTTTCACTTTGTGTGTCCTCTCATAGTATGTTTTTTTTTTTTATAAATCTGAATTTAAGTTACCTCTGCCCCTTGGTATGTTCCCAGGCTTTTTGGAGAATGTGTATGGATAATGCTTTATTACTCTTCTGCATAGATCTATGAGCATTTGTGCCTCCTGATGTGCTGTGCTTGTTCAGTTTTATGAAGGAATACACATGTGGGAGGAAGGAAGCTTGGCCTGTCTGTGTGTGGTGCTCAGATCTGTTGAGAGCCTGTGAACCTTGCTGCTTGGTTTTGGAGCTGCGAATGCTCTTATCTGAAAGGAAGGTGGTGTCAAGGCCTGTCAGAGTCCATGGATAGATCTGACACAGCTTCTAATAGGTTTAYTGCTCCAGTCAGGAGCACTGAGTGTTTACTGATGTTCTTGCTTCAAAAAGAGATGTTRAGGCTTTGCAGCATGTTCTCCAAGAACTGACAGGGAGCTAGCTCTAACTCAACCACACTTACTCCTGCAGACTGAAATTTGGTCTCATTGTCAGATGTGTTTTTTGTGATGATCTTGACTCCCATCAGTGAAGTGGGATAGGTGCACATGGCACTGGCATGTGGTTCTGGGATGACAGTTCCAGTGGAGAAAGTTCCTCATTTTGCTGGATATGAAGTATGGAATGGTCTTGCATCACTGAATTAGTTCACTTGTAACTTGTCTCGGTGGTAAAGAGTGGATTGTGTTTCCCAGAATGGTTACCTGCATGGACAGGATTATTAGCTGGATTCTGAGTCAGCACTCTGTCCTTTTTATCAGCTTCCCTCCTTGAGAATCTGGACAAGTCCTAGGCATACTGCCATCCCAAAGGCAAGAACACCCTTCTGGCTACTCTTGCTGARATGATATAGGATTTCTTACCCATTTTTGCTTCACTCAGATTGTAGGGAATGGGATACTGATTTTTGTCATTACTTGTACTTAGTGATACAAAAAAAAAATTATGTTTAGTAAAACTACATTGTGACTGTGACTACTGCCCCCTCATGAACTTGTGGAGGACAGTTGAGTTACCTAAACATAAAATATCTTGACTGTCACAGGAAGGAAGCTTCTTTTTTTTTTCCAAGAAACTGGTAACGAGTTAGAGGTGTCCCTGCTTTAAGTATCTCCCGTTTGTGAAGTTATGACCTGATTAGATCTGCTGAAGGATTTCAGTTGTAGGTAGGTTTGCTTTCCCTTTTTGTAGGGTTGTAGAATGGTAGCCCGGGTTGCATTTGAGTCTTAATTCTGACATGTCTAGGCTTTATTGTTAGCATGAGGCTTSATCCTTTTGAGATGCCAGTTGTTCTGTTTTTTAAGTGTGGTTTATCAGGTAAAGAATATTTGTGGATTTGGGTTTTGTCTTYAGTACTTTGTTCAAGAATTCACTAAGGCCTTGCCTTTCTTCCAAAATACTGAAAACATCATAATACTGAAAATGGAAATTTTCTCTTGATGTTGTTACTGTGAACGGGAAGGCACTATACTTGGAAAGTTACCTTCAGTTGAGGTAGTGAAATATGCTGTGATTCTTACTGAAATACTTACTGAAGTGACAAATTACCAATGCAATTTGAAGAAATACAGAGTTTACAAGGTCTTCCTGATCAGAAATGTTTGAATTTGACTCATCTCAGATTCCTGTACTTTCTCTGTACTGAGAAACTTGTATTTCAGAATGCCAGGGTTTTGCAGATAAATTTCAACTTYGAGAATCTAAAAGTTAAATTACATTTAGTATGCCTGCTGGGTTTTTGTTGTTACATTGGGTAGATGATTCATGATGGCTGGTGATGGGTATTTCAGAGAAATGAGTGTATTGATGCCCAGCTGTTATTCTTGATAAGAGTGAGCTGAAGCTATCGATTTTGTGAAATGTGACRTTTCTAGATGTAGGAAAGGTCTTTGACTTCTGGATCTGTAGTTAAATTTCTTTTTCCACCCCAGACTAATAACTCCTTAGTTGTCTGCTTTTGCTGCAGCCAATGTWTGCATTTGCTATTCAGTTTTGGGATTTGTTACATGCTTCTGCTCAGTCATTATGTGACATCTTTKTTGCTTATACAAGTGGTACATCAGATTAATAATACTGGAGGAGATAAACCAAGGTTTATTTGTATAGAGTGTCTGAGACAGCTTACCTTATTCTTAATTAAAATATTTTAATCTATCTTTGACCAGGTATCCAGCACACATTGAAGAAATTGATTATGAAGAGGGGAAAGTACTCATCCATTTCAAACGCTGGAACCATAGATATGATGAATGGTTTTGTTGGGACAGTCCTTAYTTGCGTCCCTTAGAGAAAATACAGTTAAGAAAAGAAGGATTGCATGAGGAGGAAGGTTGTGCAGTAAGTAGAAATTAGAGGACATTTGTGTGTGTAACAGTTTAATGTGCAGTTGTATGAATTTTGCTTTAAAATGCTTCACTGTTGCTGTGTTACCTACTATGTAAATTTTATGTTTTCCCTTAAACATCGGAAAGCTAGTAATTGAAATGTTTCAATAAAGTTGTATGTTTCAGTAATTCTCAGTTGAAGACACTTTTAACTACTGTCTTGTAGGGATTTAATATCAATGATCAGGTATTGGCATGCTGGTCTGACTGTCGCTTCTATCCAGCCAAAGTTACTTCTGTTAACAAAGATGGTAAGGACTCCTGGTTTTGTCTTGCTTGGTAGTCATGTATTTCTAACTGTGTTGGAACCTTGTTGCTTWGTTGGAGAGATACCATAGCAGATAGAAAACAACTGTGAAAAACTGTATTTTCAGTTATGTGTTTTAGTCTGTCATCAGCTTTTTAAACTTCTTACCCTGTTTATGAGAGAAAAACTTTCTGCTGGGATATCCAGTCAGTAATGGCTTTAAGTATATATGTGGAGAAAGTTATTTAAGTTCGTTTTTAAGAGATGCCTGTAACTGCAATAAAASCTATTGTCAGAGCTGCRAAACCYCTTAAAAATCAGAAGGGGAGGGGSAACTGTGAAAGATTTGATCTARTGCTGGGCTTGCCTTAGATTGTGTTAGATCTTGTCTAAGATGAAGAAGAAAAAGGCTATGTAATTATGTATTGGAATATTCCACCAAAAATATTTTGGAGTTTTGTGAGTAAAGCCCATCTGAGGATAGACRTGGACCTTTATTTTGACCAGAATTATTTTGGATAACTTTGCTGTGTCTCCTTTAYCTTGCATGTGATAGGAGCTCTGTGTTGAGGGTTCTAACAATACAGAYAAGGCACYTTTCATCTAGAGCTAGCTGTACAGYTGGAGTATTGGAGCTRTTAGTTGATGCTGTGTTAAATAACTTCTGATCGTTGAACTCCTATGCTTTTTTTTTCATATTTTAGGTACATACACTGTGAAATTTTATGATGGTGTAGTTCAGACGGTCAAAAATATTCATGTCAAAGCTTTTTCCAAAGATCAGGTAAGTATTATGTTTGTGCAGCTAGTRTATTCTAAAATAAACAGTTCAGGTGRCTTTGATGAATTACAAAACRTGAAATGAATGAAAAACCTTTATTGCTGAAATACAGTATGTCTGAAATGAAGTTCCTTAAAATGAAAAGTTTATGTGAATCTTTGTGCTGTGATGTGCAAAGGTCTCTCTTAGGCTCTCTAAATGCACCTCTTGAACTAAAGAAGTCATAGGTATATAACTAAAACAGATTTCTAAAAATCATTGGAAAATGCAGAATGTACATACTGAAGCTAATGGTAAGGTTTTGAAACATGTTGTGATTGTTTYACCTGTTTGAGATTAGTTTGAATATATATGTCTTACAAATAAAGGAGTGAARACTATGGAGYGAACAGAAACTATTTTCTCCCAAARTAACTATWTGATATTCATGACACTTYTAAGAAACATGGCTATTAATYTTTCATCTCACAACTTTRAGAAGATCAGCRTTTTTAACTATTCCTTGTTTTCCTTCTGTGGTTTGGCTGTTTTACTAACCCTTCACCTGCTCACTGCAGTGGGTTCAACCTTAAGCTCATAATAGAAATTAGTAGTGAGCCATTATATTAAAAAAATCATCCTGCTGATGGTGTGAAGGAAGAAATGCTGCTCTGTACTTCGATTTTCATATGCAGATGTGCAGGAAAGGCTGAGCACGTTCTGGTCTTTAGCTTGGTTAAAACTTCTTAAATACCTGCTTCACAATAATTTTCATTACAGGCAGGTTTTTAAGTTTGATCTTTTGCCACACATTCCTATAGTATATTCCTGTGGTAATTGTAGCCTGTGGGTTTTTTTGTCACACTCCCTGCTTTTAGTTTTCTGAAACTTGTAACTTTAAGCAAAGAAATTGAATCTGTTCCCCCCCCCAGCACAAGTGCTTAAATACAGATTTCAGTAATGAATGTCAGTGGTACAATTTAACTTTGTCACTGTTGTGAAGAGGTATGCCAAACCTCCAGTTTCCTGTATCTGTCAAGGTTGGAGGGAACACTATTTCAGATTTGCCATAAAGTGCCCTTAATAGCTTTTAAATAGGTATTATTGTGTCTGGTGGAAAGTTGACTAATATTCACAAGCAAACCACTGCAGAATCTTCATTTCCATAAGAAATGTTTTTATGATATTTAGCATTAAACAARTGAAGTTGAACAATCTGAAGAAATATTTTGCATAAGAAAACAAAAATATCTCTCCTTTAGGAAGTTTCAGGTTTCTGCATAGCTTTGGAAAGGTTTTGAAAGAAGAAGGAAGGGGTTTTGGGTTTGGTGTTTTTTGGGTTTTTTTTCCCTTTTATCCTTGGTCCAAGAAGATTTCTCCTAGCTCAAGAGAATCTCCTAAGTTATGCCAGAACATTTTTTTCTGTCCTTTAGCATAAAAAGCATAAACTTAGTATTTCTTAGTGCGCTCTGTTTACACAAGCAGACGTCTTAAAAGAAAAAATACTCGAGCCACTGGGGAGCYCAAGATTCGGATATGAATGTAAGTTACCTCAGGTGGTGATCCAGGTACAGGAGTAGTGTAGCAGCATGTTGAAAGTGGAGYGGGGAGCTGTCTTGTTCCTGTTTTTCAGGAGGAGAGACTGGAGTCATGAAAGCACAAATGGCTCATGTTTTAGTAGTTGTTAAGAAAAAAAAAAGGCTCAAAACTCACACAATTCCTGAAGGGAATAACATAAGCAGATGAAAATTTCTTTAATTACAGTATTACTCTGTCCCTGTGTAGAGGCTGTGTTGAACAGTGGTGGTAAGATGCTAATGTCCTGTGTCAGTGTGAATGTCCCTTTGCAAGGACACACAGCTTTTAAGAGTTCAGTAACACCAAGAGGTAATTCAGGCCTACTGTATTTATGATTCATTTTCTTGAGAATATTTTGACTAAGATGGCTTATGATTGTTCCGGTAGCACATACTTGATTCAAATCAAATGGTTCTGTGAGCATTACAAGTATCGAAACATAGTTGCCTGAGGGTTGTTTTGAGAGTTGGGKTTTTTTTTCCCAATGTTTGAGTTTCCACTGAAGCTTCTCCCATGAGGAATTTACAGAACGCAGACTTACAGGATGTCTGGTAAAAGGGACACTCAGACATGTGAATGACCCCGTTTGCCTCACTGTTTTCAATTGATTTCACATTTTAAAACAGTAACTTTTTTCTAAATCATGTCTCTACTGAGTATGGTTGAAATAATATCATAGAGGGTGGAGCAGATTGCATGTTCATAATTTTATTGCATCAGTATTATTTCTTAAGGCTATCAGCTCATGTAAACCACATACAGACAGGAATATCAGGGTAGGAAGAGGCAAGATGTAGTGCAGTGCTAGAAGATAGTGAGTCTTAAGTGGATTCTCAGAATTTCATATAGCTCAAATCACCTTTTCCACTTTCTTTCCCCAGAAAGGTGTCGAGGTATTTAGCCTTTCCTGTCCTCTGATCCTGGATCAACATTGGAGCTTCTTGGTCTCCTTAGCATTGTGTCTGGGAAGGAGCATGGTTCCTCCTTAATTCTTCAATTAAGCAACAGGAAGAGAGAAATTAGTTGAACTAAAGTCAGTTCTGACACATGACAAATTGTCGTGGGTTTAAACCTGRTTTTTCCCAATCCGAGTCACGGCACCAAAAAATGTCGTGGTTTGGACTGTGCTGAAAGCCAAAAAGCACTGCACCCACGATGTTYTCTCCTTTCCCCCACTAGAGAGGGAGAATTGAGAGCAAAAGCCCAATTAACACGAAAATTTATGGCTTTCTGATAACATAATTGAGAGAAAGATACGTATATGCTCTAGAGAATGGTCAGACAGGCTGAATAACCTAAGTTGCAAAAT